ATATCAGATTCAAAGGAATGACAGTGCGTGATTGGAGACACCTCCATTGGATGATAACTTTTGACCTTTATGTTCAGTTTGAATGTTATCTCAATGCTTCTTCTGAAGCCTCCAGTATACTGGCGCGTACCTCAGTCCACGGAGGTCCGCGTGTACCAGATTAGAGTCGAAGTGGACGCCCGCAAAGCATGTCCGTGCAAAGCTCAATGTCTACGACCGCATACACATACTCGGTGTTGCACAATAAACTGCCCGGCGACGGACTGTTTTGTATTTGACCGACACCAATGTATTAAATTCCCCTTCTTCGTCCCTGATCTGGCCTTTTCTTTTGTTTTTTTTCCAAAAGTCAAGCAATCTCATCCTCCTCCGTTGACGCCATGCCTGAAATTGTGAGAAATGAAGGAATTTGTCACGAGTAAATTAAAATCAGGTCCAGCGTGACTGCAGGAGGATCTGGAGATTTCCTGGTGGGCTGATCTGATGTGTGGGCTGCAGGGCCAGCGCTCCCTGTTTTTTTGGTTTTTGTTTGTTTTTTTTAGAATGTTTTAATTAACAACATATAAATATAACACTGCTGCGGCTGGGGCTGCCAGCTCTCTCTTTTTTTTTTTTTTTTGCGACCTGTCAATCAGTCCAGTAGGCGTGTCATCAAATGACAAATCGGCGACCTCAATTTGTCCCGAAGGTAAACACCCCTTGTCTGCGGAGTTGCTCTGCAGCCACTCACGGTGGACACTCAGGTATACAGTCTCAACCCTATGTGGACAGTGCGCACATTTTCCGCACGGTTGACAGGACACGTAAGTATACTGGAGCCTTTAGAGGTTGCATCTGTGTGCGTGCTTGTCCATGTTTGTGTGTATTAGCTGTGACCATGATTGTGCTCATCTCTGTTCTGTAGGCTACTTGCCATTCTCTACTGAATAAAGCAACAGTAAAAGAAAAAAAGGAAAACAAAAAAGCAGTAAGTTTGAAGAATTTGCTTTCTTTCAAACACATTCCCCCATAGCAAAAAAAAAAACAAACAAAAAAAACTTTTTTTTACATTTATTTCATTTGATTTGTTTTCATTTTACTTTTTCATTATTTAGTTTGCTTTCAAATTTGTGTTTTTCTCAACACATTTTCTTTTTGTTCCACATTCTGCTTTGTGTGTTTCCTTTCTTAAATCATTGCACTAATATTAACTTCATTTAATGTGTTTTATGTTAACACTTCCAGGAAATTAACAGCATCCTCTTTTCATTTTTATCTTATTTTCTGTTGGCACTCCAATATTTTCTCATTATATTTTGTCTGCACTTTAATTATCCTACTCCATCTAATGACAAAATAACTGAATACTTTTAGCCACACAGACACATACTTCACCTGCAATTATACAAAACTTTACTAAAGGAATTAAAGCATAGCCCCAATCATAAACATTTAGTGATTATTTTGTAGCCATCTGGGTAGACAGTGTAACTATGATGCATACATTTGAACAAAAGCTCAGTTGGAAAATATGGTCCCATTATTTTTGGTCAACAATTATGGATCTAATGAAAAATCC